ATAGACATTTCATCAAGAAAAAATTAGAATGTGGTGTGATCTGTATGCCGTATGTTCCAACAAAGGATCAGCTTGCAGACATGTTTACTAAGGGATTATCGAAACAAGTGTTTGAATCCTTTTGTTCCAAGCTTGGTTTATTTGATATCTACGAACCAGTTTGAGGGGGAGTATTGAAAGTTAAAAGTATTACCTATTTTATTGGGTTGTTTCCACGTTATCTTAAATTGGTTTCACTTGATTTGATCCTCCTAGGAATCCTAGATAAGCTGTAACTTATCTAGTATAACTAAATTGTTGTAACTGTAGCCTAATATTTAGGCTCTTTAGTTTCTGTATTTACTTATTTAAAGTAGGGATGGCAAAAAAATTTGACAAACTCGATACCTGCGAGGGCCCACCCCAAATGGGGCGGGGATTACCCACTTAATCGGGTATTTGGGTCGGGGAAGGATAAAGGGTGCCCCGCCCTATTTAATTTATTTTTTTTTTAGAATTCAATACTTTAAATTGAAAATTTCACTAAATTTCATTAGTTCTAATAGAAAATGGTAACTAAAATTATTTATCTCAGTGTAATAAATGAAGACAATAAAATAAATTATCAAAAACTAAAAAAATAAATTAAACAGGGCAAGGGTCTCGCCCCGCCTTAAATGGGTAACAGGGCAAGGAATTGCTTGGTGGGGCGGGAAAGGTTGCCCTAACCTTGTCCCGTCCCATTGTCATCCCTAATTTAAAGGTTGGGAGTCTGTATATTTTAAATGTATTAAAATATAGATACCTATTCTCTTTTATCTTGTTTTTCTACACCATGTATTAATATAGATGCACATGCACCCCTATTTAGCTTCTTCAGTTTCTGTAATGTAATATATAATGACAAGAGGTATTTAAGAGTTGGTGAAATAGTCTTGTTGAGGTGCTGGAAGTATGGCAATCAACCATGGTTCATATTCTGCTTTTGATATTTAGTAGCGTTACTGCTGTCTTCTACTTTAGCTTTCAGTTCTTGACAAAGCCAACGTATCTGATTAGTGTGTTTTTGCACACTTATTTATTAATTAAATATACCTATTATTGATAAAAATGAGTGAATTTCTACTCACAATTATGTAATTATTGCGTTTGTAGGTAGAAATCACCAAAAGGAAAGAGAACAAGACAAAAGGAGAAAAATAGACTAAAAGTGTACAAGATTGTGAAGTTGGGGACCAAGTTGCACAATTGTCGAAAGTTGGAGGACATTAAA